CCTCCTCCTCCTCCTCCTCCTCCTCTTCCTCCTGCTAAAAACATGAAACGATCTCGTGGCCGTCGACGGCGATGGGGTGCAGTCGGCCTCACCGCATGTGCGGCCTGCCGCGCAGAGGGCGCCCTGCACCTCCTGCAGCGAGCGGGGGGCGGGCGGGCGCCCCGTCGGCCGCCCCCTGCCCTGCCGGCGGCCGCGCGCGCGCCCGGGCTATCGAAGGGCCGCCAGGGCTCGAGCCCCTGCAGACGGGGTGGGGGTGATCGTCTTCTTATTCATTGTCTTCCCGATCGGTGCGGCTCCTCCTCCTCCTCTTCCTCCTCCTCCTCCTCCTCCTCCTCCTCCTCTGCTGCCCCCTCCTCCTACCCCCCTTTGCGCGTGGCCGCGCCTCCTCGCCGTGCCCGTGCCCGCTGTGTTTGGCGCCTGTTTCAGGCTGTTGGAGACTCCTCCATGTGACGCGCTGTTGCAAACAGTCGCGCTATGCAGAGGTCCAGAAGCCAGGCCCCCTCCCCTCCCCCCCCCCGCTTTCCGCCCAACGTCGAAACGCCGAATCAGAAAACGCTTACGTAGGTAAGGGACCTCTTCAAGCGAGAACGGGGCGACAGGGCATTTTCCCCGCACTGTTGCGTGATACATCGGGACGGCAAAAACGGCGATGCATCATCATAACTCTGGGTGCGGGGGGGTACCTCGCACTTGTGCGCGGCAAGCCCATTTTTTGAAAATACCATTGAAAACGCACCGTTAACTACCGGCCCGTTTACTAACGCCCCGTTTGCAGGGGCTTGAAGGGCTGGAGGGCTGCGATGCTGTTCTCCGCCGGTGCCGCGCACAACCTCGTGGTGATCGGGCGAAGGGAACTACAGTCGGACCGAGGTATAAGATCGAGTTCGGCTCGGGGAGAGTACCCTAGTGTTCTGCGTGTTTGTTTTGGATGTTCTGGTGCATCCTGGGGAGGGCGCCGTTGGATGCTCTGCGTGTGTTTGGGCCGACGGAGGGACTCATGTTCTTCAGGGACGCTCTTCTGGCCTGGGTCCGACTGCACAGCACTCCTCGAAAGCAATCGGAGGTTGATAGACCTCCTACCCTGACACGTCGATTTGCAAATTGGCCGTTTTCGGTTCGCGAGAGGGCGTCGCGGCCGTCATTTTTGCGGGTCCAGGTCCGTCGGTTTCGGTCTTAGGCCGTCTAAAGGGAGGTTTACTAAAGGGAGGTTTGTCCACCGCCGAAGCAAGCTCAAGCTTTTGTCCAACCCCCTCGCCTCCGAATTCTAGAGGTGGTGGACGCGTACCACGCGGGCAGCAGGGCCCACAAACAAAAATGGCAGTCGCCGGTCTCGGCGCTAACATTGGCATTGGGGGGTCCAGGGGCGTCGCCGCGTCGTGGGAAGAACTTGCGCTTGATTTCGAGGAGGGATGTACATTACCACCTTCTAGTAAGAAGCACCCCCCGTCAAGCTGGGTCTCAAACATTCTTAAATTTCACGATCGAATTCCAAAATGCTGACCCAGTTTCTTAATCTCTGGATCCTTGCCAGGATCTTCCTCCAGATCTTCTTCCAAAGCTGGCTCTCGCCAGCGGTTAAGGAATTTAGCGAAGCCGGGTCTCGAGATTTCTTACTAGAAGATTGAGTCGTAGAAGGTTTGAGTATTGCACATGCACCGGTCCTGGTTGGGCCCATCCTGAGCCCAGGTTCGGTGCACATGCCTCTCTGGCCAAGCCAGGTGGGGCCCACGCACCGGCCCTGGCCCCAGGATTTGGATGGCCAGCGTCGGTGCGTGCGCATCTTGAGTTGTCTTCTAGGTGACCACGCGCTACGAGCTCGTGGCGTGGGGGGACAACGGAGATCGGGGAACAAACCGTGACGTGAGCATAAAAACTCTGAGGTCCGCGCGGATTTCTTGGATCGGCGCTGGAGGCCCCCTAGCGGCGACTCCGGCGCGGCCCCTGGCGCGCTCCACGCGCCAGGGAGGGGGATGCAGCGCCGATCCAGGATATCCGCGCGGACCTCCGAGTCTTTATGCTTACTCGGCGGCCAGCCCAGGGGGGAAGTGCAAGGGGGCGGACCCCTCTCAGAAGGCTTGGAAGTCCCCCAGCCTTGTGAGAAGCGTTCTATAACCCGACACTGCTGACCTCTCAGAGGGCCGGAAGGCTTCTAAGCTTGAGTCGGGCATGTCCCTCTGACAGGAGGAGCAGTCAAACATAGCAACAAAAAGAAGAAGAGGCTGGATACGATTTGTCTGTCATTGTTCCACTGCTCTGGGATACTGTGTGCAGCCCCGCCGCCTTCTGAGAGGGCCTTCTCACGCGAGTCGCTTCTGGGCAGGCGGGCCCCGCCGAAGCGACGGGCAGGCCTCCGGCTCACACGTTCGAGACCGCGGCCTCCACGCCATGCCCTCGTGGGCGCGGGCGGGCTCCCTCGTGGAGCGCGCACGGCTCGGGCGTTCGCTCTTCGCGGCTCCCTCTGGCTTCCCCCCCCCCCCTCGCTCGCCGCTGGCTTGTGCCATGGTTCCAGGAAGACAGCGATCGGGTTGGGGGGGATGGGGTTTCGGGGAGACCTGAGGCTATCATTGCCCGCGGGCGGCCGAAGTACATGTTTGTTAACGGGCTTTCTTAGAGAGCTCTAGGTGCAGGCCGTGTGTAGCGCTCAGGGCCTAGTGGCCCCGAGCGCTTGAACCTCCCCCCCCTCGGGCCTGAGAGACTGGAGGGGGTGGGGCAGCATGCATAGCAGGTGCAGAATAGATGTCCATAACGTATTGGCTCTAGTTTCAACGAGCAGCAGCCCTCTCGCGCCTCCCTTTGAGCGCGCGCGGGATTGCAGCCACGACGCGCCTTTCCTGGCTCGCCGCGTGCGTGCTCGGCACCGCCCTGGTGCAGGAGGACGCTTTCGAGGATCTGCTGGATTACGCCTCGGGCGGGTTCGGCGGCGTGCTGTCAGGCTCCCCGCTGCTGCTGGGAGACGGCGAGCCCGAGCCGGAGTCGCCCTTCGACGAGCCCAGCCTCGACGCCGAGGACGTCGACCCTTGTGAGGACGAGCCCGAGGGGCAGCCTATGCCCTTCCAGCGATGGAACAGGATCTACTACCGCCCGAGGGCGGACTCCAACCAGGGTCTCACGATGCTCCTGGTCAGCAAGTTCAGCTCCACGCTGGGCGAGAAGAGATGGGTCTGCATCGACCCGACGGGCAGGCTCCAGGTCCTCGACCTCGGGCAGCCCGCGAAGGTGAAGTCCACGAAGTTCGCGGGCGTGAACCACGGCACCTTCCAGGGCCTCTCGGCGACGGAGAAGCAGAAGGCCATCGAGGCGGCCGACCGCATCATCGCTACGGGGTCCGCATCGACGACAGGCAAGATCACCAGGGACCACCATCCTCGAGGTGGAGGCGCCGCAGGACGCAGGTCCCACCGCCGCCACGCGGTGTCGTGGCTACTGAAGCTGGGCTCCAACCTCGCGGGCTACGCTTGGGCCCGTCGGAGCTTAGGTACGGCGGCGGGTTCGACGTTCGTGCTGTGGCGCGCAGTCGTGTACCTCAACGTGGTGGAGTGGGTGAAATGGGGCTACTCGTCGCTGAAGGAGACCGTGGACACGGTGGAGTATTTCAGGGAGGAGATCGAGACGGTGTTCGAGATGCACGAGTCAGGAGCTCTCGAGCCTCTCTACTTCTCAGTGGGTGTGATGCTCGTGAGTGGCTTCATCATGTCGTGCTGCAGGTCATCTCGCCCCTCGCCTGCGCCATCGCCCACAACTTCCTCCGGTGCCTCAGCTCCCGCGCTTCCTGGTTGGAGCTGGCCCTCGTGGTCGGCCACACCGTCTCCCAGCCAGTCAGGATCATCGACTCCCAGGGACGAGGGCACTCAGGTGTCAGACGCCGAGGAGTCGGACTCGGTGGGAGGCGAAGTTCTGAGGCAGCTGGGTTTGGTGGCCGAGAGGCTCTCCGCTCTCGAGGAGAGGCAGGCGTCGCGCCCGACGGAGCCTCCTCGGCCAACTCCAGCGCCATCAGCACCTCAAGCCCCAGCGAAGCCTGGGATCGGCGCGGACAGCTACGACCAGATGATGGGGGCCCTCCTTCAGAGGCTGGACCGCCACAAGGAGATGGTGGAGCAGGACAGCATGGCCGTGACCGCCGGCGGGTCCGAGCAGCGGGTGGTCAGCTCCACGTCCAACCCAGAGATCGACTCGCTGGTCAAGGGCCTGGACGACTCCTTCAAGGACATGCGCGAGGTCGCCAAGGAGAAGCTGCAGGCCTACTCCAGCGACGTGGCGTGGACGATCCAAGGGGGCATCAAGACGCGCGTGGCCCCGTCAATGGTGGCCCGCCTGTACCGCAGTGGGGCTTCAGCGGTGGCGAGCATCAGGGAGATGATTCGCACGAAGCAGCTGGACGGCAACCACATGGCGGAAGAGGCCCTCCTCATCAGCATGATGCTCGACCGATCCATGGTGGAGGCGCCAGCCGACTGGATCAACTACAAGACGACGGAGTTGGCGATGCGACGCCTCCACGGCATCGAGAGGGCCTTCGAGAACGTCAAGCAGAGGTCGGACTGGAAGCCGCCCAACGGCTCCAAGGCGGGCTGGAAGTCTCGAGTCAACTACGCCCTGCTGGAGGAGCTCGACACGACCAAGTCGGATCAGGATGGCCTTCTCATCGACGGCGTGGAAAAGGAGCTTCGCGAACGCTTGGCTCACCGCGCCCTTCTCGCCAAGTCCCTCGACAAGCTGCAGGACAAGAAGCACTCAACAAGCAAGGACGACTGACAGCTGGGAGGTGCTCCCGATTCAGGCGCTTCGCGAAGCGCATTCTCCTGGCAGCCATCGTCCTGGAGGCTGCCCACATCTACCACAACTTGCACAGCGTTATTTTCCTAATTTCTCATCACGATGAGAGCGGAGGTCGAATTCTCATCAGAGGGTCGAGCGCGCGACCCCTTGGAGGTGCTGCCGCTCCTGCCAGCGCCGTCCCCCTTGTCGTCTCCCTCGGGGCGGTCGAGGTCTCGCTTCGCCCAGGAGCGAGCGATCAGGGTCAGGACGAACGCCGCTCTGAGGTCCTTAGCCGCGCTGACTACGAACTCATACCACGACCTGCGGGACTCCAGTTTCGGATCCTCCAAGGAGTGGGACACGAGCCACGAGCTGCCGCGCAGGATCTCCGAGAGGGTGCTGCAGTGCCACCGGGACGCGCACGATCAGAAGATGTACGACTCCGACGCCGAGTCCGCTTTCGAGCGGCTGGCCTTGCATGCCAAGCCTGGGACCTACGCGGGCTTCAGTGTATCAGACAAGGACGACGACGACGTGCCGCAACGAGGGAAGGTCATGCCCTTCGTGAGCGGCGAAGCGTCTCTGCCTCCAGCGGGGACGCAGCCATGCGACATAAGGATGATTTCACCAAAAGCGAGATATTACTTCGACCGATTCCACGAGAGGATGTGCCTGCCGCCCAGCCAGGTCGACGAGGCCGACATCGAGAAGACGAGAGCCTACATGGACCCCAGTTTGAGGAGCAGGTCAGCTCGCCTCCAGTTTGCGCTGAGACTATGGGAGTCAGGCATGCTCGGTTTCACGGACATCTGCAGGGCGGAGGTCTCGGTGTTCTTCGTCATGAAGAAAGTCAACGAGGCAGGCCAGTTCATTCTCCGGCCCGTCTGGGACCTGAGGCAGGTGAACAAGCGCTTTCAGAAGCCACCTCACCTTTCTCTGGGGTCTCCGATGGCGATGGCGGAGCTGGACCTGTCCGACGAGATCACAGATGGCAGGGTCTTGCAGTCAACGTGGGGAGACGTGCCAGACTACTTTCACAGATGCAAGAGCTGCAGCGAGCTGTGGCCGTACATGGTGTTCGGAGGCGTGACGATCCCCCAGCTTTTGAAGGAGCTCAAGCGCCAGGGCAAAGTGGTGCCGTCGGTCCCGAAGGGGGCCCGCTACCTGTGCCTGGTGGTAATGCTGATGGGCTTCAGCTGGTCTCCAGCGATCTGTCATGGTGCTCTGGAGGACCTTCTGTGCGATCTACCTGGCTTCCCGCGAGGAGCTCAGCTGGTCCACGGGCGCGTCCCCCCCAGCTTCTCCGAGACGGCCTTCATCTACTGGGTGTTCATGGACGACTTCGCCTCGATGACCTTGCAGCAGGACGAGATGAGCGAGGTGGTGGAGGCAGTCCGCGAACACGCTGGGAAGAAGCTCAAGGAGGTGGGCCTCGACATGCACAAAGACGGAGTCGGGGCAGCGATGCCCCTCTCTCTGGGCGTGACGATCACTCAGCGCCCTCATCGCTTGATGGCAGCTCAGGAGAAGGTCAAGAATGTCATTGGTGCGACCAAGGCCCTTTTGGACCGAGGTCGAGCGACGCCAACCGAGCTATCAAGGATAATTGGGTCGTGGGTGTGGTTGGCGATGTGCTGTCGGGCCGCCTTCTGCATGCTGGATGCTTGCTACAAGTTCGTGACGAAGTACGGCGACGACGATCAGGTTCACATCCTGTGGGAGAGCGTGACAAACGAGCTGTACATGCTTTACCACCTGGCCCCCCTGATGTATACCCACCTGGAGTCGAAGTGGAGCTCCAGTGTCTTTGCTACGGATGCGAGCGAAGAAGGCCTAGGGGTAGTCGAGACGGAAGCGAGCCGGGAAGAAGTCCGAGCCGAAGTCAACCGACAGTGGAGAGCCGACCATCTTCGAGACATGGCCAGGGACGAGGAGGAGGAGGAGCTGCTCAGTGGCGAGAACCTCGAGCGAGCCAGACGAGGCATCCCCCCCGTGGTGTCCGATGGCGAGGTCCCTCCGATGAAGTTCATGGCCGACATTTTCTCAGGGTACGGCGGCTTCGGGCAGGCGATCCGCGAGGAACTGCAGTGCCAGACCCTGTTCGTGGACAACGCACGGGAGGTGCGCCACGACCTGCTGGACTCGTCCTTCGTCGAGCTCGTCTGTCGCGCCGTTCTTCGCCCCCTCTTCTTCATGGTCCACTTGGCCCCTCCATGCTCTACGTTCTCGCGGGCACGTCGACCCCCTTTGCGAGCTCCAGGCCGTTGGATTCTTGGTCTCCCAGGTCTTTCCCCTCAGCAGGTGCAGAGAGTACGGGAAGGCAACGCTCTGGCCCAGGCAGCGATCTCAATTTGCTACGCGTGCCTGGCATCGGGGACAGGTTTTTCGCTGGAGAACCCAAGGACCTCGATGATCTGGGACCTCCCCGACATGGCGAAGTTGCTGACGATGGATGGAGTTCGCGTAGTGGAGATGGTGCACTGTGCCTTCGGAGCCCGATGGAAGAAGCCCACTCGAATAGTGACCAACGTGCAGGCGCTGGAGGAGCTCGAATGCAAGTGCTCTCAGGACCACGATCATCAGGAGCTGCGGGGGCGCGACTCTCAAGGGCGTCTCTGGACGCGCCTGGCAGCAGTCTACCCGCCACGCCTGTGCAGAGCCTATGCCTCTTGTGTGGCCAAGGCCGTGTCCAACAACGAGCTGAAGCTGCACGACTGGCGCATGCGAGAACTCCGAGGCGCAGCGCCGAAGCCAGTCGCAGTCATGAGTCACTGGGCCAAAGTGTCCCGATGGCATCTAGCGTGGAAAGGGGTATGGGCGTATCACGATCATATCAATGTGCAGGAAATGAGGACGGTCGCGTCGGTATCCCGTCACCTGTGTCGCTCGTCAAAGAACTGGTTCAGCCGAGTCTTGGTCCTGTGCGACTCTATGGTGACGGTGGGTGCAGTCAGAAAGATGCGGAGCTCTTCGCGACCTTTGATGACGCAGCTGAAGAAGATCGGTGCGATCACGCTGGCCACCGGTATACGATTGACGCTGAGGTGGATACCCACAGACATGAACCCGGCCGACGGCCCTTCGAGAGGCGAGGAGATAGGCAGCGCCGAGATCACCAAGACCAAGTCCGAGCAGAAGAAGAGCGTGATGGACAGCGACTTCGAGTTCGAGAGGCTCTTCGGGGACATGCTGGAGATCAGGGGCATGCACGACGACTACGACCTGGCCTGGCATTTATGACGACGATCATGATTCTAGCCTCGGCTCCAGAGATCACAGCCACGGCAACTGCAGACACGGAGCCGACCGACCAGGACGAGAGCTTCCAGGCTGACGGCGACCACACCTTCGACAGTGAAGATGGGCAGGTCGCTGATGACGTGGGAATGTTCGCCGGAGCTCTAGAAGCAGCAGTGACAGTCAAAAAGACGGCCAAAAAGAAAGGCAAGCAACGAGCTCACGTTCCCCAGAACAAGAAAGGCCCCCTCGCCTTTGAGAACGCCGCTCGGGAGCCCCCAGTGTCGAGAACCAGCCTGGGCTCTGGCACGCTGGAAGTACCTCTGCGCCTTCTCGTGCACGCTGTTCAGGACAACACCAACGTGTGCTACATCAAGGAGGTGGAGCCCTTCCTGGTGAAGGTGCGTCTCAAGAGGCTTCCCTTTTCCACGGCGGCCGAGCGTGACATCACCCTTGCGGCGGAGTTAGACCACATGTGCTTCGTGGAGAGGGCTTCGGTGTCAAGAGGAGTTCGATTGTACCATGGGCTGGTCCACGTGTTTCCAGAGTGGAAGTCTGAGTTGCCGATCTCCTTGCGTGCTTTGCATAGCTGGGAGAAATTCCAGGAGTCCTGGGAAGGTGGCCCAGCCTCTGCCGAAGCAATCTATTTCATAGCTTCCCAGGCGATCAAATCAGGCCACATAGACGAGGGGATCGCATTTCTTGTAGCGTACGATTGTTATCTTCGAGAACAGGATTGGTTGCAGCTGAGGGGTGAAGACGTTCATGTGAGTGGAAAAACGTATTTTAATGATCTGCCAAATGACGACACTCATCATGCAGCTGGTGGGATCAAAGTGGCACTACTTCTTGGACGGAGACACAGAGGTGAGAGTGTCAAGACAGGTCAAGAGCAAGGAGTGGCAATTGACAGCGGTCTTCTCTCACACATCCTAGCGGAGCGTGTCAAGCAGATCAAACCGACCGACAAGGTCTTCAATACCACAGCAGCCAAAGCAACTTCAGTCTGGAGAGGCATCCAATCAAAGTTCGGACTGGAATGGATCGGACCGATGCACACGTTGAGACACAGCGGACCGAGCTACGATATCTTGCACAAGAGACGCTCAATTCAAGAAGTTCAGAGACGCGGACGGTGGACACAGGCCAAGTCGATGGCCAGGTATGCGAAGCCACATTCTCTTATCGTTCATGACGCACGGTTACCTGCGAAGATTAAGGACGCGGGCCGGAGAGCCCTTCATGATCTGAGCTCGACGCTGGAGAGCATCCCCACTCAGAGCCCACGGCGATCTGCAGCATCGCGGGGCTTGACGTACATCGCAGGAGCTGACGCCGGCCAGGCCATGGAGCCCGTGGACCCGGCAGCCTGAGACGCGGCGGCGTGCCAAGCACTGTGGCCTCCCGCCTTGAGCCAAATTGTCTCCTCCCTCTTCTCCTCACTCTTTATATATCAGTGCTGACGCACCCACCCCCCCAGTCCCAGTCTTTAAGTGAGAACCCGAGGTTGCGGGGTGAGGGGTGTTTTTCTTGGGCCTGTGCCTCTCGCGGCTGCTTGGGCCCAGGCTCTCGCCGACAGCGGCGAGCGAAACCTTCCGACCGGTGTGCTGCGCGAGCCGAGGGTAGTGTGAAAAAGGATCCCGTCTGGCCATCTTGGAGCTCGTTCTCAGAATACATGTTTGTTAACGGGCTTTCTTAGAGAGCTCTAGGTGCAGGCCGTGTGTAGCGCTCAGGGCCTAGTGGCCCCGAGCGCTTGAACCTCCCCCCCCTCGGGCCTGAGAGACTGGAGGGGGTGGGGCAGCATGCGTAGCAGGTGCAGAATAGATGTCCATAACGTATTGGCTCTAGTTTCCCATCCCAACCCTCCCTTTTTTGAGGGGGTGTTTTTTCTTGGGCCTGTGCCTCTCGCGGCTGCTTGGGCCCAGGCTCTCGCCGACAGCGGCGAGCGAAACCTTCCGATCGGTGTGCTGCGCGAGCCGAGGGTAGTGTGAAAAAGGATCCCGTCTGGCCATCTTGGAGCTCGTTCTCAGAAGTATCGTTCATGGCATCCGGGTGCCACGGCTCGTGCCCTTCGTCCTCCCGCCCCCCTCCCCCCCAACACCACAAAACTGTCCTCCTCGCACATTATGTTCCCCCACACTTGTTCCCCGAGGGGAGGGCCAGCTCGGGGACGGGACGACGGAGGACCGCCTGCGGCCGGAGCTCATCCTGAGCGGCGGCGTGCAGGCCGTGGCGGCCGGGCGGCACCACAGCTTGGCGTTGACGGAGGACGCAGCGGCGCCCACCGAGGGGGCGGCCCGAGTGCCTTCTCCTGCTCCTCCGCCTTCGCCTTCGCCTCCTCCTCCTCCGCCTCCTCCGCCTCCTCCTCCTCCGCCTCCTCCTCCTCCGCCTCCGCCTCCGCCTCCTCCTGTTTCTCCTCCTCCTCCTCTCCTCCTCCTCCTCCTCTTTTCTCCTCCTCTCCTCCTCCTCCTCCTCCTCCTCTTTCTCCTCCTCCTCCTCCTCCTCCTCCTCCTCCTCCTCCTCCGCCGCCTTCCTCTACTCCTCTACCTCTGGGGGTGCGGCGCGAGGGGGTGAGCTTCTACTCAGAGGAGGAAAAGGCACCTATACCTCCACCCTTACCCTGTTCTCCCCTTTCTACTGGCCTCCTAGGAGGCCCTCGATACCACGAGGATCTATACACAGACACCCTCCGAGGAATGTTGCATGTACCTTCAGGGAGAGCGGCGGTAAATAACAACCGCTGGTTCCCAGTGGTGATACACCGCCACCCTCCCCTGACGCCCAGGAATTATCCGTTGGAGGGCGCCAGTGTGTATACCTTTGTGGCGGACCCTCGTCGCCACGGCTGGATTCGCCACCGAGTTCAGGGCGGAATATACCCCGGGAGAGGCCCGCGGAGCCGCGACATCGGTACCCTGTGGTTTCCCCATCTACGAAGGCGGCGGGGCGTCTGAGGAGGCAGGGCGGCTCCCCAGGAGCCCGCCCGGCTCCTGAGGAGCCTTCTCAGAAGCCTCCCTGGGAGCCTTCTCGGGGGCCCTCTGAGGAGCCTTCTGACAAAACACAGAGCAGACAGGGAAGAACTTGGGGCCTTCCCAGAAGGCCATGGCCTTCCCAGCAGCCCCGCCGCTTCCTTCGCAGGCCGCCCCCCTCGCGCCGCCCCCTGGTGGGCGCCGCCGGAGGACGGCGAGCTGATGGCCTGGGGCTGCAACGAGGACGGCCTCCTCGGCGTCGGCGTGGCCAGGCGGCAGCTGACGCCCGGGCGCCTCATCGCCGAGGACGGCGGCCGGCTGCGGGGCATCCGCTCGATGGCGGCCGGCTGGAAGCATAGCCTGGCGCTGACGGAGCAGGGGGAGGTTCGGCCACACATGAAGAGTGCCCTCTCGCCGGAGTGGCATTCGGGGGCCCCAGATGGCGGAATGCGATCCGACAGCAGCGGGTTGCGCGCTCGGATCTGGCCCCGAGCGCCCCCCTCGAGCCGCGCACCGAGGGCCACTCCTGCCCAGGGCCACTCCTCGCGTGCATGGCCGAGAGGTCCTCTCCTGGGGCGCCAACGACTACGGGCAGCTTGGGAGCGGCAGCAGCGAGCCGCGCCGGACGCCCGGGCGCGTGCAGCTCCGCGGGCGGGCGCGCGCAGTGGCAGCAGGCTGCCGGGGTTCACGGGTTCAAGGATCGGGGCCTCGAGGGATGGGGTCCTTTAAGGCCGAGGGGCCTCAGGCAAGGTGCGTTCATCTCAGGCAAGGTGCGCTCAGGGTCTTGCTTTTGAGCCGCCGGAGGGTGGACACCGAGTTTCCACCCGCACCGATTCTGGCCGTGTCCATCTTGGGCCCAGCGCTGGCGGCTTGGCGCCGAGGATGAGCATGGCCAGGATCGTCGTTGCAGGAAGATAGCACAGATCGATTGATTGATCGATGGATCGATCCGGCCAGGCTGGTATCACAGCGTGGCGTTGCTGGAGAGCGGCGAGGTGTGGACGTGGGGCTTCAACACCCCCAGCGAGTCCTCGCCCAGACGCCGCCGATCCGCGGTTGGGGTGCGGGCTGTGGATCATGAGCGTCCTTATCGTCCTTCTCCTTTTCCGTCTTCTCCTCCTCCTCCTCCTCCTCCTCCTCCTCCTCCTCCTCCTCCTCCTTCTCAACCTCCTGGTGGCCATGGAGGTGCAGCTTTTCCTGCCCCCCAGGCTGCTCAAGGTCCGCCACCACGGCCTAGCTTCGAGCTGCACCCGACGCGCTCGGTGGTGGTGGGCTCGGCTCGGGGCACGAGCTTGGCCGAGGTCAACATGCATCAGGTGCTGCAGAAGGCCCACGAGGTGGCGCCCACGTGCGGGCTGTGGTCAGTCGTTGACGACACCACGGCGAGGATGGAGGGCTCCAGGAAGGCGGTCGTCAAGGTCCTCAAGCTCGTGCGCCAGGTCTTCGAGCAGGGCCTCGTCGTCGAGAGGGGCCTCACGATCTCGGAGAAGACCACGGTCCTGGCCTCGACGAGGAGCTGAGCAAGGAGCTCGCCACGCCAGGCATGCCCGTCATGAAGGCGAACAAGGCTGTCGACCTGGGCTGCGACACGGCCGTGGGCAGGCAGTTGGCGTGCAGAACGAGCGCGGCGAGGTTCCGAGCTGACAGGCTGCGCGCGGTGAGAATCAATAAGGTGCGCCAACGGGCCGCCCTCGCCCTGGACGCCAAGGGCCTTTGGACCAGTGGCGCTCTACCCCAGGCGGCGTACGGGGCCCAGGTCATTGGGCTGGCGCAGTGGAGGGTGCAGGAGCTGCGCCGCCAGGCTGCGGCGGCGCCGGCGGGGCGCGCGCGGCTGCTGCCTCACCACGCTCCTGGCCACGACGGTAGGGAGCGACCTTGGAAGTGCCATCTGTTTGGAGGTGCTCGAGTCTTGGCTGGCGCTCTGGGAGCTGGCCCCCGAGCTGCACGCGCGCATCCAGAGGGCCTGGGGCAGGGTCCGCCAGGCGCTGGTGGCGGCTAGGAGCCAGCGCTGGCGCCGAGTGCGAGGGCTGCTGGGTGCGGTGCAGGCGGTCCTCATGGACGTGGGCTGGGAAGCTGCCACCGCCGCGTGTTGAATCCGACCTGGACACGGCGATGCTTGGAGAGTGCAGGCTTCGAGAGCGGCTGGCACCAACTGCGCAGAGTGGCACCTGGTCCAGAGGGACAGCGGGGCCTTCGGCAGCTACATCGACCAGCCGATCCTGCATGACGCCAGGCAGGACCTCCAGCACCAGTACTGGAGGAAGGCGGCCGCCCACGAGCATGGCGACAGCGTGGCCGGAGGTGCGGACCCGACCAGGATCCTGAGAGAGCAGCGTTGCTTCGCCAATCATGGCAGGTGGTGCGACTGGAGCCTAAACGCCACCGTCGCGAGTGGAGGCCAGTGGACTCGCACGCGCAGGAGGGAGGCGGGCTACATCGTGCATGTCACCTGCCCGCGCTGCGATGATGCGCCAGAGACCCTGGCGGGCCGTACATGGGAGTGCAGAAACAATTATGATGAGCATCCTGGATCCAGGCAGTCCAACTCGATCGTTGCACACGCCTTTGCGGGCCTAGACGCCGTTCTGGCTCCGCGGCCTGCCTCCTGAGGCCTTTAAGGCCCCGCGTTTTTCAGAGGAGCCCCTCCAGGATCTGGCGGTGGCTCTCGGAGTTGGGGCGCTGGGCGACTATCGGGGGGCGGGCGGGTGGCGGTGTTCGGGGACGGGTCGGGAGGTCGCTTCTCGGGCGATCCGCGCAGGCGACGCCGCGGAGCGGCGATCGCCACAGCCCGCTGGCGCCCCGAGTCTCACCAGTGGTGCCAGGGTGTCATTGTGGTCAGGCCTCTGGTGGGCCATCTCCTGTCGGTCCCGCGGGCCGAGACCCTCGCCCTGGCCATGGCCCTGGAGGGCGCGACGGGTGCCTTGCTGTTGGTCACCGACCACCAGGCCCTCTTGAGGGCTCGGCCGCTTCGGCCCCGCCAAAGCACGAAGGGTCCCAACGAGGGCCGTTGGCGCAGAATTCGGCGGGCCCTGCGGAGTAGAGGAGGTGGTGAGGTCGAGCTCGAGTGGGTCCCATCGCATGCCGAGCTGGACGAGGAAAGGCTGGCCACCCCGATGGGGCCCCTTCCTCGCCGCGGGCAATGCAGTAGCTGACGCGCGGGCGGGGATGGGGTCGGAGTTGGCGTGGGGGAGGGGAATCGTGAATGAGGCGGCGCACGGCGACCTCTGGGACGCCACCGCGGCACTCGTGAGGCGACGCGCGCGCTTCGGCATCCAGCTGTCCCTCGAGGCTGATTCGGAGCGAGCCGAGGGAGTGGAGCGTGTCAGGCTTCCCAGGATGACCGCGAGGCGCGAGGCCATCGCCAGATCAGCACACGCGCTCCGCGAGGTCGGCCCCAAGTGGCAGTGCAGTGTGTGTCTCCACCTCGCCCACTCCGCCGACCTCCTCGCCTTCTGCGCCTCCCCGCGCGCGCCTCCCCCCGCGCCAGCGGCGCTGGAAGCGCGGGCCCCGAGAGCGAGAGCTACGGTGGAGTTGTGTCCCGGAGTGGCCGAGGGAGTGCACGAGTCCCATCGCATGGGATGGCGAGGACATTTTGCCTTGCATGTCTGTCATGAGTGTGGCAGGTTTGCCGCGGTCGACTTTCGATGCCTCCGAAGACCCTGCCCTGGGAGCACGCTCAAAGGTCGTGAGAACCTGGCCAGGATTGCGAAGGGGCTCTACCCAAGACGGGGGGGGCCCGAGGGCGATCATGGAGGCGGCGCGCCAGGAGGAGGAGCAGGAGATTATTCAGAGTGTACAGGACAGTTCTGAGCGGCGCGGAGGGGGGTGCCTTTTCCCCCTCGGCCTTGGGGAGGTGTCAGGCTCTGGGGAGCCTCCGCGCGCGGTTTGACGGTCCCCAGGGAGCCCTGGTCTTGGGACCACTTCCAGCAGCAATGCTTTTGCCTTTGCGCTTCGTGCCGTGCCTCAGGACCCTGAGGAGGAGGAGGAGGAGGAGGCAGAGTGGCTACTCGGGGGCCTTCCCCAGTAGGCTCAGAGCTTCCCAGCGGCGTTGAACGTTGGCGTCAGCTCTCGTTCGGGGCTTCTCAGGGTGAGCTTGCGGTGGATCCGCTCTTTTAGAATCCTCTGTAGAATCCTCAGCTTCCTCCTCCTCGCCCTCCTCCTCCTCCTCCTCCTCCTCCTCCTCCTCCTCCTCCTCCTTCCGAGCCAGACTCGATGCAGGCCTGGGCGGGCGCCCCAGACTAGACAGAGCCAGACAGTGCGATTGCTGCAAGACGGTGACCTCATGCGACAGGAAGCAGCAACGAAACCGCACAGCTGACGAGCCATCAACAAGCCTTCCAAAGCAGACGGCATCAATTGTAGCCACAAAGGACAAGGAACGTACCCAGCGGGTTCAGACCCTGGAGGGCTCCTTACCTGATGAGGGCGGCGGTGATATCCATGGCCAAGCCACGATTGGAGTTCCACTGGCTTCCAGACCCTGGATTCCTTATCCAACGCTTCCTTATCCAATGTCCTCACCGTAGCTTTTCAAAGCAGACGGCATCAAGGGTAGCCACAAAGAACAGGAAACTAGCTGGCATGCGACACGAGAGGCAGTATGACAGCCCCACGCAAGGAATCAGGTACAACTCCCTACAACGAGAAGCAATGGCCAAACTCAGACCAGAGGAAGCAGCAAGAAGCCCACGGTAGACCAGATACCCTGTCACAGCTGGTAGTTATTACTTTATCAATGCTCAAGGCTTACAAATCACTTCGGCCTGCTGGAGTTATTTGTTTCCATAGGTTCGCCGCTTAAGAAGAGTCATGAGGAGTTGTATAACAAGACCGAGAGACCGTGCTTTTAAGAAACCGAATTTCCCAAACCGCCGGATATTACAACAAAAAACGCCGAGAACAAGAAAAGTCACCGAAACCACCAAAACCGACGAAAAAACAGGAGCCACCAAAGCCACCGCAACCGCCGAAAACAACAGGAACCACCCAAACCACCAAAATCAAAACTGCCGAAAACAACAGGGACAACCAAAACCGCCGAAAAACAAGAACCACCAACACCGTCGAACATAACAGGGACAACCCAAACCGCCGAAAACCACCGAAAACAACAGGAACCACCCAAACCACCCAAACCGCAGAAAACAACAGGAACTACCAAAACCGCCGAAAACAACAAGAGCCACCAAAACCGCCGAAAACAGCAGGAACCACCAAAACCGCCGAAACTGGCGAAAACAACAGGATCCACCAAAACCACCACAACCGCCGAAAACAACAGGAACCACCAAAACAGCCGAAAACAGCAGGAACCACCAGAACCGCCGAAAACACAAATTTCTCCCTGTGCCTGCTTCCTCCGCGTCCCGAAACCCGTACAAACGGAACACTTCCGAGACGATTTTGGTACGATTCGGGGACGATTCCAGGACGACTCCGAGACAATTCTGGGACGACTCCGGTTCCATTCTCGATCCATGATGGTTCCATTTTGGGTCCATTCTCGATCCATTCGAATTCCGTTCTGGCTCCAGTTTGGGTCCACTCTGGGTCCATTCTGGTCCCGTTCTGGCTCCATTCTAGGTCCAGTATGGGTCCATTCTGGGTCCATTCTGGGTCTATTCTGGGCCCGTTCTGGGTCCATTCTGGGTCCACTCAGGATCATTCTGCGTCCGTTCTCGGGCCATTGCATGTTTGTTCGATTCTGTATCATTACGTAGCTGATACGGCCGAGATTCCATTTGAAATTTCTCAGTCATGCGCTTCTCGCTGACACTTTATTGTGCTGCCCCTTCCTACCCTCTCGTAGTGCCCAGAGGGCTTGCGTCAGTGCCCCTGTTGCTTGCCACGGGTGCCGGTGTCGTCTTGCTCCTCGCCGTATGACTGTGCCATGCTGTGTGCGTGCCGGGAGACGGGCGCGCGTCTCCGCCCCCCGCTGCCTCCCCCCGCGGCCCCCCCCTCCCTCTGTGCTCCAGCCTCGCGCGCGTACAGTGGAAGCCCATGCCAAGAGGCACCCTGCCTGCCTCCCGGGGGTGCCGTGGGTTCCCGGGGGTTTCGATAGGTTTGCCATGGACAGCGCGACGCTCCCGCACCAAAAATCAACGGACGCTCCGGAGTCTCCGGCTTGGGTTTCTTTTGGAAGGTTTCTTGTGGTCCAGCTCCTCTTGTAATTCGCGACCCCGTAGCCCGGTTTTGCCGCTCGGGCCGCGCTGCGCATCCGCCAGCGTTGCAACGAACAGTGCCGTGAGGGTCATTTCTGTTTCGCGTTGTAGGGATACCGTAGTGTTTCCTGTTTCATGGGGTCCCCTGTGTGGTTCCTGTTGCCGGTATGTTTGACTTGTTTCTGTTACTTGTTGCGTTGACGTTCAGTTGTTGTTTTGTTGCATTGGCTTTTGTTGTTGTTTCTTTTACAGTTTTCTGATTGTGTCCTTATGCCCATGTTCGCATCAAGCGCGACGCTGGGAAACGCTAGAACCGCCCAGGCCTGCATTATGTGTTGCGCCCTTCTTCCTTCCCCTCATATTCTCGGCCCCCCTCATCCCCCTTGTCCTCCTCGCTCTCCTCCCCATCGTCCCCTCCCTTCCTCCCCATCACCCCTCTCCCCCTCCTCACCCTCCCATCCTCCTGTTTTTCTTTCCCCTCTCTCCCTGAGCGAGGCGAGGCCTCCTCGACCTCGCTGGGCGGGCCGTGGATCGCGGGCCCGCGCCCGGTCGACCGCCGGTCGGTCAAGGATCGCCGCGAACGCGCGGACTCCGGTGTTTCTGACCAGTCGGTCGGAAGGTCGATGCCAGGAGGGATCGGGCGGGGCCAACGGGGGCCCGCGCGAGGGGGGGGGGGCGGCAGGAATGCCACTCTTTTCGTCTCTATCTCTCTCGCTCTCTCTCTTTCTTTCTCGCTCTCGCTCTGCCTCTTCCTCCTCTTCGGGGGACGCAGTTGCCCGGGAGAGAGGTGTCCCCCCGCTCTGCCATCGCCCGGGAGGGGTTGGCTACGGAGCGCCCCCCCCATGGATGTACGGCGGGGGGAGTCGGCTCCGAGGGTGCAGGGGTTACCACTGGGGGGGGGGTCACCAGCTCCTCCTGGAAAATCGAAGTTCCAGGTGATGGGCGTGTTTTCCACCACCACCACCACCACCATAAGTTAGAGGGGGGGGTCCTCCTTCGCCTCCTTCTCCTCCTCTTCGTCCTTATCCTCCTCCTCGCCTTCCTCCTGCTCTTTCCCTCCTGGTGGAAAACGCGCTCATCACCAGGATCGACGTTCGAGGAGGCTTTTGGGCACTGGGGATCCTTTTGGAAGCTCTTGGGGGGGTCCACTTTCTCGAGGAGACGGCGCTTTGTCGAGGAACTGGCGACATCCCAGTGGCGACCCCCTTCGGAACTGCCCCAGGGGAAGGGGGGTGGGGAGAAGAGGCTGGCCTGGTTTTCCGCCGCGTTGTCCCTGGCAGTTGACTGCGCTCCCTCTGGTGGCCGAGGCGGCCCAGCTCATCCCATCGCGGGGGTCTGGCCTCGCTGTTGAGAGCGTCGTTTGCGTAGGGAAGACAGCTGTGCAAAATATACTCTACTACCCTCGTCAAAATTAACCTCAAAATTGGCGAACACGCCCCTGCGATGTCGGCGCGCCCTTCAATGTCGATAGACGCCCCTCCAATGTCGGGGCCAGGGCAAAGGTGGTCTGACCAGGAACGATTCGTAAGTTCGATGATGACCGGCATTGGAGGGGCGGCGCATACAGGTACTTCGCAGTCACCGCTGCTCTGTCCAGTATCTCCCCACAAACAGTTCAGTCACGTAAGACATTTGTGAAGTTAATTTGAACGAGGGTTGTAGGATTGCGAAAACAAGTCTCGGGCGTGTTTCATCAGTTTCGGTTTCCTGGGCAACTGCGGCCAGAGTCCCCCCCCCAGTCTTCGGCAGGGCAGGGGCAGACATCAGGGGAGGCAGGGAGGTACGGGGAGGAAGAGAAGGGGAACGGGGACAAGCATGGGAAGGCATGGGGGAGGATGAGCAGGAACAGCATAAGTAGTAGGAGGGAGACAATGATGATAAGAAAGAGGGAGAGGGTGAGGAGGATAAGCAGGAGGAGGAGGAGGAGGAGGCCAAAGAGGAGGATGACAAGGAGGAGGAGGAGGAGGAGGAGGAGGAGGAGGAGGACCAGCGCAAACCCAACAAGCATCTCGGATGTTTCATTAAACCTTCCCTGCAGCTTCCTCGTCACACGTCCCCACATCAAATGTGTTTCTTTGCCGAACATGTAAACTCTGGAGAAACACAGTTCTTGGGGCTTCAACGCCGCGATTCAATGTGACCTTTGCGCCCTGACATTCCTAATTCGTAGCAGAACACCGTGCATGGGATCTCAGAACCGCGAGTCAACGTGACTGTTGCGTCCTGAGAACCCCGAATCGTGTCAGAACGCCATTCCTGGAACTTCAATGGGCCCTTGAAGCT